ATGTATGCTCAGAGATGGCGGCGTATGCTCAGAGATGGCGGCAGCGGCGCTAAAAATCTTATTGACATTACGAAGTTTTGTTATGCTGTGAATTATCTGACGAATTTGTAAAGCGCAATTAATGGTCGGCAAAATATCTTAATCTGCGCCTAATTTGTAAATATCCAAGAAATTGCCTTACTCTAATTAAACTAATAATCAAAACAGTGTCATGTTTTATGCAACGCTGATGTAAGAAACAACTACAATTTTACTATAATTGATAGTTTAAAAATGAATCTTGTAGAGTTTGGGCAGTAAGAAGTGAAATTTCAAGCACCCAAATCAGTTGATTGACTCATCGAGTGTAATTTCTTGATATGCCCAGTAAAATCTGTAGAAGGCTCAAGAATTAAAAAAAAATCTCATGTCAGTACATGTATATTGTTACAATATTATTAATACATCAGTGTGTTAATAACATTTCAGTAATAAACTAATCCGTATCCGAATCGTAATCTGAACTTTCGGAGCAACTACCAATATTAATTATCATTTCGTTTACAGTGAAATCTAATACTTCTTCTCGTTTATACCACGCCTTTATAACGTCTTCTGTGTGTCGCACACAATTGGCCCAAAACGTTTCGTCACATTGTTGCAGTGCCTCGTTCCACATAGAAATTACACTGTGGTCACTGTAGCCGTCTCGTCCAATATGTTTATCGTAATAACTTTTAGCATGTGCCCACACCAACTCGATAGCATTAAATTCGCAGTGGTAGGGTGGTAATCGTAAAACATCATGTCCATGGTTCCTAATGATGTTGTCGACCTCATATTGTTTTTGGATTCCTAACGATTTTATAAATGAATACAGCTCGGGCTTGAAGAGTGTAGAATCAAAAGGAATATTTCTTCTGGTCAACCCAGCAACCATATCACCTTTAGTCCAAGACGATGTGGGCAGTTTCTCTAATGTAGAGTGGTATGGTGCATTATCGATGACAATTAACGAAGGCTCTTCCAAGTTGTTTAACAGATTATTGATAAGCCATTTCTTAAAGAGATCTCCATTCATTTCCCCATGATAGTCCTCTTTCAACGACTTCGAGACAAATAAAAGAGAAGCGTTCTGTATAAACCCGGTGCTTGTACCAGCATGGACAATAATAAATCTTTTCCCATCGTAACCTGCAGGTTTTCGCACACTTTTTAAATCTTCATCTTGCCATGACTTTCCGGGGTTTCCCTTTGAATAAATCCATGTCTCATCCATGAACACAATTGGTCTTCGACTAGATGAACGTATCTCCTGCATATATTGTCTAAGAAACTTGGTTCGCATTTCTGCAATGTTCGGCTTTTCTATCAATGCCCTACGATTGGAGTCTTTTTTGAATTTAAATCCAAGGGCATGTACCGCACGATTTAAACTTCTGTCACTTAATAATACATGGGAGTTTTTGATTTCAGCATTTAACGCTGCCACCGTGACATGCTTCTCTGTAAATAATTAGATACATTTTAAAAATGAACTAAGAGTCAAGTATTATAATGAACTCACTTTGTGCATACATGTTATACAATGCATTCCGAATGCACATTTTTGATGTTTCCGGCAGATTTTGGTTTGGCACGTGGTCGTTTTTTCCCAGGACTTGACAAAATTGGATTGACAAGTGCTCGAGACTTGATTTTTTTGACCATCCTGACAGATATGCCTAGGGCGTTAGCTACACGCTGTAATTCTACGATCATATACACTGGAGTGTAAATACTAACTACGTACCTCTTGGACACAAGACACAGGCAACAAAGGTGCGCCATTTTCTTTCTCTTTTTCAAAATACTGCAGAAGGTTAAACACAAACTGCTGTGATTGTGTGTGTAAGGTAGCCATCGCAATGGGTATTACCCAATCGGTACAAAAAATAGGTAGGTGTATGAAGTAGGTAAAATAACTCAGTATAGGAAGGGCCTGACAACTAATTAACATATTAAATGAACATCGTTATAAAATATTATATGCACCCTCACTTCACATGCAATGAGCTCGCCTGAAGATGACTGAATATAGGTTTGAAATCTGATAGCCGCATTAGTTAGTATAAAATCGTGTCTAAAAAGATTTTTTTTAATTCAAATCATCCCATCACGAACAGCGTTTAAGGAAGACAAAAAGATGGAAAATATAATCGACCCAAGTTCGCTGCCCCAAAAAGCCACGTTTTCGGCCAGCGCACAAACAATTGCAGTTTCAAAACCTTATGCAGACCCAAGATGACATTGGAAGCATTGAAGAAATAATGCTATACAACTCATTGTTTTTTTTTTATTGATCACGGGGGTTGCAGTGACGTTTTGCCCTCGGCGCAGAATGATGCTTGAGACGGCTGGTTCAGGAAATATCAATCCCTTCCGTCATCTTTTGAATTGAGCTACGAATGCAACGGATCGCAAACAATGCAATCACGCAATCGTATCGACAAATGGTCTTTGGTCATTGGTACTTAAACATAAATAAGACAAGGTCTGTAAACGTTAACAAGCGTTTTAAATAAAGTACTAACATCTACTACGCATTCTACGCTTCGAAACATTGGTTCCAGACGACCCGGATTTTCGGAAAAATCTACAACTAATTTACCAAATCGAGGGTCGCTAAGCACGTTGCATTCGACGTGCAGCCCCATAGATAGGCAGCTTCGAATTCGCAATCCAAGGCCCGCACGCCACGTCATAGAACGGCAAACAACAGGAAGTATCTCGTAAATGGCGGTGGTTCGGTCGCAACCTGGCTTGACGAACCCACGAGTTGTCGAAAATAGGGGTTCGCTATTGGCTCGTGGTGCGCTCAGCGATGCGTGTTTCGTACTATCCTTGGCGGTCGTAAAAGTGCACACTATAAAAGGAGTTCGGTTCGTTGGTTCGTGTAGGTTTGCTATACTGGAATGATAATTTTCTTTGCTATGACCAAAACGTGCCTTCTGCAGTATGCAAAATCACGTATTCTTGAATGTGCTCAAAGTACCGTCGCAGAGGCCTGCACGCATTAACAAAAGTATTAATGTAAACATACGAACGCTATTTTCTTCCTCTGTGCAAGAAATAAGTTAGTCCGAGCTATTTTTTAATTTTATTGTATAATCTAACAAAAAACTTTATGAAATTCAATGAATTCATAGACTACGAGACAATTAAATTACGTAATATTGTTCCATTTTTTTTGTTTTAGGGAAAAGGGAACACCTACCTTTTAGTAGGGGAACGATCTTTTTATCAACATCTTACAAAGGGTGAATGATAGCTGTAACAAAACACATCTTAATTAAATGAGGAATACCTTCTACAAAATACACACCTTCTAGATTCAGCTTTGTTCTATTTAATTAAGTACTTCGGGTTTAGAAGAAGTTGAAGATGAACTACATGATGTGTACTACAATATATTGTACATATTGTAAGTATAGCTCGACCGTTTTATACTAGGGCGTTCTTTCGGCTGCTTAGCAATCATGATTTCAAAATCGTGATTCGTAGGATCACGTTTTACGAAAGAACGCGCGAATTTAAGTCAAAATATGGTTACGTTTACGTAGTACACATTTGCATTCGAATTACCTATTTTTTGTTTGGATTATGAAAATAATTTAAATACAAGTGAAAGTACTTGCACGATTATGCCCCTCTTCAGTTACAAATTTTGACTAACCTAACATTTGAGTAAAAATATCCTTGCATTTATAGGTTAGGAATTCGTGATCATAAAACTTTTATGTTCACTTTGTTCACGATTTTGGCAATCATGATCATAAGATCACACTTCGAAAGAACGTGATTTGACAATCCAAACGCGTTTGGATCACCGAAAGAAAGCGCCTATCGTATATATTTTTATAGAACATGACAGTACTATGAAGTTAGGTTATAAAAAATGACAGCTATTCAGATTTTATTTGTCAATTTTTTTAAGTTGGCAGCAAATTTGCCCAAAAATGGCGGATGATTGCGGTACTTTCTATATCTAGTGACTTTAAAAAATGTTACTACCTAGCGCCCCCTAGCGAGAAAAGCAAATCTCACTAGAATAGAAAGTATGATCCACAGTCACTCAGTCATTCGGCGCATTCCACGCGAAATGTAGTTCAAGCCTGAGTTCAAGCGATTGATAAAACTTCTCAATATTCCACAATAACAAACTACAAATGGAAATGTTATAGGTTAGACTTTAACATTGATTTCCTAAGAAGCGTTTACTCATCACGGTTAATTTTGTCGCATTTAATTTGGCCCTACTCGTGCAAAGGGTTAATGAAGCAATAAAATGTCTTTATTTATGTACATTTCATGATAAATGCTCATTTTTTATGCCTTTCCCCTTCAAAGTGCTCCCTATCACTTACCGCCTTCTTTGAAGCAACAAGTTCTTTGTTTAGTACAGAGGGGAATCACAAATAGCAAGTAACTATGACATAACAAAGTTAGAATACATGATGGGGCTAGAATTACAATAAGTAACCCTTAGGAAAATAACGATAGTTTCTAAGATCGCCCTGGGAGTCGGGGGACGTGTGGGACGGAAGCAATCGCTTTATAAACTTTTCGACATTGAATGACAACGAAAAAATGTAGGTGGAGTTTAAAAACCTTGGATGTTAGAACCGAAATATTTCCTATACCTCATTTGTGTTAGGACTTAAGGCTGGTGATCACGCCAAAATCTGCTGCCTTTTATTTTTGGGAAGTGCTATTACGGACTACGGTGGTGAACAGTTTGCATCGTTGGTATAAGCAAATTCCATTTACGAAATTAATCTATTGAGAATAACCTTAACGTCCACCTTTAACCAAGGTGCCCTCTCTTGCAAGGGATTTCCCTCGTTTTTAATTTTCACCTCGATTTTCACCCAATTTCAAAAACAAATTGGTCTAATCAAGCTCTTCCAAAGTGTATATATCAACGCACTCCTTGATTAAACCTAGTTTAAGAAGCAGCGTATTACTGTGAATGTAACGTCTGCAGCATATTTGCCCATTCATTGTGCTCTTTATCATGCCTCGTACTAACGGATTACATCAACCATAAATATTACAATACCTGATTACAAGGAAAACGAATTGGACAAATCTAATTAAGCTATCAAATTAATAACATGCTAACCAGAAGTGTATAATTGAAATTTCAATCATCATTCAAAACATCACGCGAACATTTATGAAGTAAATGAATAAATTATTAGTTTAGAATCTGAAGTAAATTGGGCAAATAAAACTTTCGTACAACATAAAACGTGGTAATAATGTTGCCTCTGGGATGTTTTGGTTTTATTAAAATTACTGCACATACCGTTTTATGTAAATATGACGTTAACTTTCCATCAAGCATTATAATGTATAGCTAACGGTAGAAACCCTTTTTACTTAATTTATATCATGTTGTACTACATTTTGGGGAATATTTATGTTGCTGGCACGTCAATACGTTGAAGCATTGAATAAAAACACTATAAGAAGCCTAACCCCGTGGAAATAAAGCGCGACAGAGTTTGAACTGAGAATATAATGGGAACACTGTCAATAGAGTCGATTCTTGAACTGAGAAGAATGAGAATTTGCTTTCCTCCTATTTACCGCAAAGAGAGTTCGGGGTCACAACCAATGCGGGTGCAAGGGGATTTGTGAGATTTGTCGCGCTTTCTTCCATAAGCGTTAGGCTTCTTATAGTGTTTTTATTCAATGGTTGAAGTAGGTAATTATCTAGTTTGCTCGTAGCTTGTTTAAACATTACTGCCTTAGATCAAAAACTGTTAACTTATGCTAGAGCCTTTTTTACTTCGGTTTTTCCAAGAAACATAAATTACAAACAAATAAATTGTGTTTGATGTGTTCAAGGCTAGAAAAACAGAATCTACGATGAGAACTCTCTATATGAAAATCAATTTCCCGATTTTGTTTATTATTTATTTATTTATTTATTTATTTTGCCTTTATTTTTGAGTGGCCAGTCATTTTAAACACTAAACATTGCAAAAAATACTGTAAACTTGCATTTTTAATATGTTGTTAGAGACAGCCTAGACAGTGTAAATCTATATTTGCAACCCTCAAAAACGTGAGCCAGCCGATATACAGAGTGAAATTCGAGAAAGTTTTTTTTCAGTTTTTCGCAAAAAAAGAAGTGAAGGATTGATCTGAAGAGGAAATGTGTTATTACCACTTTTGAAGCAGAGAAAATTACCTAAAAGACGAGCTATGTGCGAGATCTGTAACCCAGTTAGTTCCAGAGATACAGCTCTGTGAATATTGACAAGTTTTCCAAAAAAAGTGAAAATAAAATAATTACATTAGAATTTTTTTTTCTTCATTACTGTAACAATCATTTTCGGGCGATATTTGGAGGAGGCGAAGAGTCACCGCTTGTACTTGAACTTCCTTGTTGGCTATCTTTAGGTTGAAGAGAGGTGACTCCAAATCTGCGAAGATCTCCTCTTCGTCCAACTCCTCGGCTCTTGATATGTTCGTGCAATTGATGCCTTCGCAGTGTTTGCAGATTGAAGAGCATCTCATACCAGTCTTCATGCAAGAACACGAAGCAGAGCAACC